AATAGTTTAAGACTAAATTAAGTTGGTTCAACTTAAAAAAATGGTAAGATGTGAATCTCACGAGTTAATGTTTTAAGAAAATTTATAAAAAGTTAGTGATGGGTTTTTTAAAGCTCAAGTATTTTTCTCCATCTTTCTAGACTGAGATTCTTTATTTCTTATCTACCCATAACTAATCCACTTGACTAAGTTGAAAAATCAAGCTCCCATAATTGGAAATCCTAAGTTTGAGTCATGTGGTTTTCTTCCCTTTTCTTCTCCTTTTCTTGGATCGACTAGAGATAAGAAAAGTTTGTTAAATTGGAATTATTGATGCTTGAGTGTTATGAGTGCTTATAATCTTTTTCTTTTATATAGTTGAGTGTATGAATTCATGATGAGATGAGTTATGAAGTTGGGTTTTTTTTTCCTTAAGTTGTTTGAGAGTAGAATTTGGTGATTTTGGAGTGTAATGGTTGCATGTTGTTTTTTAGTTGTCTATGATGCCTACAAATTATGTGTTGCATGTTGGTAAATTTATAAGTTTAAGATGGATTTGGACAGATTGAGCTTCTATCAAATGTATAACTCATCATCATGTCGAGCAAACCGTCATGGCACCAAGCGTGACTTGAGTCAAGGATGTTTTGCCTCATTAGTCCTGAGTGCAGGATTGGTAGCCCTAGGTGTGAGAAGAGAGAATCCTCTCTAACTTGGTCACACCAAATCTGGGTTTGAATGGCGTCAAGTATGAGGAAAGATAATCATATCTACTTGAGTTTTCGTTGGGCATCAATGGAGTGACGTTGAACGTGACTTGGGCAGGAGCTTTCTACTTGATCGAGGTCAGACTTGGAGTTTCACCATGTCAGTTGTGAGCCTCATTCACGTTGGGCAATGGTTGAGTGACACAAGAGTGGGGGAGATAGGAGGCCTCCTATCTTAATAGCTTTGGGCACCTAAGGATGGTGTCGAGTGTGAGTTATATCATTTATGTGAGATGTTTGGAGTTGTTTTAATAATTGAAAGGTGATGAGTTGTTTATATGATGGATGTTGTATGAAGGTAGTTCGTTGTGCATTAAGATAATGTATAGTGATTTTTTTGTTGTTAAGTTGTGAATAAATGGATGAATAAGTTGTAAATTTGTATGATATTGTAATTGATTAAGTTATTAGACATGTGGTGAAGATACATGTCTTAGTTGATAATAAGGATGACAAATAAACTCGTACCCGTAGGTAATACCCGAACCCGTCCCGACTTTGACGGGGAATATCCGCTTTGATCGGGTATGGGTACGGGTATCACATCAATTCGGATTCTCCAAACAAGTTTCCATCATTTGTTTAATATTTTTTTATTATTTAAATTACATATGTGTATTTTCAAGAATTATTTTAAATAAAGTTGTTCCAATTTAATTAATTTAAATAATGGGAATGGGTGATAAAAAAAAAATTAAACAGCGCCAGAAATATACTCGTGATCTTATCTATATTTATATCTATGTTTATAATTATTTTTTCTTTCTTCTCTTATTTGGTTAGTTGTATTAACTTATCTTTATATAAAATAAGTTATAATAATTAAAATTTATTACAACATGAAAAATATTACGTGTTTCTTTCCACTCCGGTCAATTTTTTTTTCATAAAACTTGATTAACTATTTTCTTTCTTTCGTAACAGTAACAAAGAAAGAGAATAGTAACAAAATCCAAACTAATATATACACATATATATATATGTGATGGACTTTTATCTTTGCTACAAAACAAAACCTAAACATATACAACAATATAAATAAAATAAAAATAAAAAAAACCTAAAGGTACAATTGCATCAAATACAAATATAAACATAACTTTTCTCTTTGCAACAAAACAAATACAAACATATAAATAAATAAAATATATATAAAAAAAAAACTAAACAAACACACACATTAGTGCTTTGATGGACTTTTCTTATTGCACGTTATACTTGCATTAAATTACTTGGTTTAACTCCATACTTGTCGAGTAATGCTTGCTTCATTGAGGAATAACTAATGTTAGGGTCAACTACCAACATACTTTCCAGTTTCTTTGGAATCCATGTAAAGTTTGCATTCGAGTTCTTTGTAGTTATAATACAACTATGTATATTGTTATATGTTCTTATCTTAAAAGTAACTTCATCTAGGGTTGGAGATGTATTGATCCTCCAACTACAACCCTCAAAGGCACACTCACACATCACTCTAGCCCTCTCATTTTTTTTTTTTACTTTAAGTAATTGAAATCCTTCTTGAATAGATAAATCCTTAAGTACTTCGATGTATATTTAAAAATAGTTTTCCAACTTTAAGGTGTATCCTGCCATCTTTAGTCTTCTCAAATGGTTCTCCTATATCTCATCTCTTTACATAAATTTCACTCATGTCATTATCTGAACAAATATTACCAATCACATAAATTATCTCTTCAAAGTTACTTATACACCTACTTTCATTTTCATAACACTCATCTTCATCCTCTACCAATAGGTTAATTGTATCATATGCATCAAACATCCCAAATTAATTAGGATCCACGTAGCGTATTTCATTTAGTTGACCAATCTTTTCAACAAAGTGGACCAAAATATCCATGCTACTTAGTAGAGGACCTAAATAAGGCAAATTGTCTATCCTTTGACATGTTGTCAAACAACAAATAGAAAAATAATTAAAAATGGTACAACAATAAAAACATAGTAAGAAAATTAGGTGTCCCTCATAAGTCCCCTACATAATAGACACATTGGTCCCCACCAAAATCACTGTTCCCTAACTAGAACCCCATTCGAACTAAGAAAAATAATATATAAAAAAACTGGTATTTACAAACTCAACAACACACCACAACAAAACAAATTGGAACAAGAGAAACACACTTGCAACAAAAGATAAGTAAACAAAACTACACTAAAAATGTAATAGTCTTCTTAGAAACTCAAATTGCACTTATTGTTATCATTTTTCACACTTGTCATCATAGTTATCCTTTGTATAAACTAAAAAAGAAGTCAATCAAACAAGAATATGCTTACAATTGGCTTTCTTCTTTACTCCTTTTTGAACCCTAGAAGACTTTTTAGTTTCCCCTTCAAAAATAAGAACGTAAGGTTTCAAGTGTTATGATTATTACCGTCATTCCACTTTAAAATGAAATTGTCACTTAACGGAGTTTCATCCTACAAACTTTGATTCTTCTCCCAAGTCTTCAGAGTATATGTGTAAAATGAAAAAAATGAGAATGTAAAATTAAGAAAATTATCGTAACCTTTATTTTAAAACTTAACCCTGTTTTAACCTTTCACTAAAAATATTTTAACCAAGGTTTACCTCTTCTTCCCTCAAATATTAATAAAACACGTTATAGTAAACGCCACATATTTCATATATATAAAATATATTTATAAAAATTACCCATCATTTATAAAAACTAAAATTTAATAATTAATGAAAATCTCGTGATGTAACAAATTTCTTCCTTCATTGTCACCTATCTTGAGGTACCTTTGTTACCTTCCTCCTCCATTAATGGAGGTCTAATCTCAAGAATGACTAAACATTGCTTCCTATGAGGATTGTAAATACCACAATTAAAATAATTTTGCATCCCTTAGCACTTCATTCTATGCACCTCGTTGTTCAATTTAAAGTTAGATACAAAAGTATTGCAAACGTCCACTTTAATGTATATTTAGGCAACCCTTACCTTAATTTCTTGATTTAAAGTGCTCCTCCATTTCTAAATCATTATTCTTACGAAGAATGTTGTTATTCTCTCATATAATTTGACCAAGTTCATTCATAAATCTTCCAAAAGGATATGATCATCATAATATTCAACGAGGAACCTTAGATCTTGAAAATAGACTACCACTCATTTAAAATCAAAAGATCTTCAAAATACTCAAGTTAAATGTAGTTGAGTCCTATATTAAGGGAGTGGACGTCAAAGACATACTTAAGCTTTTCGCCCTCGATTGCAAGCTTCCAGGGTTGTGTCCCCTTAGTGAGCTTGTAATCGAGTCTTGTACCAAGGGAATGGATCTTAAAGAGGACACTCAACACTTGTCCCCTAGGAGGGCTCATAATCGAGTGTGTTCCCTTAGTTGTGTCGCGTAGGATGATCAAATGTTGACACATACTCCAAACCTTAGCTGCTAGAAAAGCATGCTCTTAATATCCTTTATATTTGTAGTACATGCTTTAATTGACCTATGTTATGACATGGTGGTTACACCCATTCATGAACTCAATTGATCCACATCAGCCCTTGATGGATAATGAAATGTGCTCCAATATATTAGGGAATACGATAACCCTCAACGATCGCATAAAATCAAGAGAAAAGATCATGGTAACTACAAGCCTTCGTTGAAGCAACCTTTTAAAAGACAGAGAAAAGAAGGGTTGAGACAAATTTTTTAAAAAACAATATCGTAAATAGCCTCAGAGAAAGAGATTGATATCACCATGAATGTTCTTGAGATAGACCCATGTCTATTACCGAAACAAAAATAAATTATTATCAAATAAAAATAATCTTATACTATAATATAAATTATTTATCATAAATTTAAAATATAATTTATATATTTAAAAATATTTACTTATTTAAATTTTAAATATAACTTATATGTTAAATATAATATTTATTTATATATAATTTATTTTAAAATTTATACATAATAAAATACTAATTAATATTATAACAATCAAGGAAAAATGTCAATTATGTTAAACAATAATTACTTATTCTTATATTTTTTTTATTATAAATAAAAATAACTAATTATACATATATATATGTTAAAAAAATTAATTATTTTTAATAAATCTTATTATTCGTAAAATATTTTAGAGAGAATTATTAAATGATGTAAAAGTAGTTAAATTTATTTATATTTAAAAAAATTGTTTTTTTAGACGAAAAATAAAGTATTAAATAATTACATAATTTATTATTTTGGCTCAGAAACGCAGGAGTACAGAATACATAGTACACGCTAAAGCTCACCAACTGACACAGATTATGTTCCGATTGTTGTGTTCTGGGCTACCAAATAATTAAGCATTCAACAACAATCCCAATTTTCGCTCCTCTCAGGAAAATCATCTCCCTTTTCTAGTACGTGTTTCTCTCTGTTTCTGTCTTTCACCTTTGATTATTGATTTCTGGGTTCGTGTTAATTTTTTGTGGATCACAACAACCCCTTCTAAGATAACACATGTTCTGGTACTGACCCAGTTCTATAAAAATTGGATTTCTATAGTTTTATTTACATTATTTATGTTTTCTTTCAAAATTGTTAATAAATTTACAATTAGTGGCTTGCAATTTCTTCATAAGGGTTTGCGGGGCAAGTTGGTTTCTCAGTAAATTGAGTGGGGGATTTCACATGCCTCCAACTTCAAGTATGACATTGTGGTCCGGTCCTTTCTTTGATTGAATTGCTTTTAATATTGTTACAATTTTACAACTTTTGGCTTGCAATTTCTTCAAAAGGGTTTGTGGGGCAAGTTGGTTTTTCAGTAAATTGGGTGGGGGATTTCACATGCTTCCAATTTTAATCATGATATTGTGGTCTGGTCCTTGCTTTGATCTCTAAATAGGGAAGGTTGAATGATTTGAAAAAATGGGTTCTGGCAATGTGAAGCCAGAAGATGCTGTGGTAAAGGAGAATGTAGGTGTTCCTGTCCCTGAATTTTCAGAATCAAAAGAGCAGAAGATGGTTTTGCAGCCTGGAACTACCTCCAAGGGAATTAAGCAGATTCCTTTGTCTGGTGGAAATGAGGAGGACGTGTATGTTAATATCATTGGGAGTGGGTGCATAAGTTCTGGTGGCAAGGCGGTGGTGGAAGATGCTTGCGAGGATGTCACTGATGCTGAGTGTTCCAGTTCCAGTTCTTTTGGTGATACAGATTCTGACAGAGAGGATGCCTTGGGCTCGGCATTCACCGATTCCGAAGTAAAATCTCCAATGTGTGATGGTGATCGAAGACGGACTTCTCCATCTAGGTATATTTCTGACCCAGTTTCAGTTCTTGTCTTGCCTGTAGAAGGCAAGAAAACATAACTGGAAACACAAAAAGGAGAAAAAAAAACACACACACACACAGAGAAGGAGGAATGTGCATTAAAGTTGTCATCCAATCTTTTCTGCTATAAATTTCCATCCCTTTAATAAAAGGCTCTTTTTAGGTAGATATTACGGAAGAATCATCTGCTTTTATTCCCTTTATTTTGATAAGTGTTATGTAATACAGTCTGCTTAATAGTAAAATTTGTAACTGTATCGGTTGTTTTTGCTGTCATGACTAAAGTTGTGATATGTGTCATGTTTATATTCCCATGTTACTTTGCCCTGGCTGCTTTGATTAGAATATCAATTACACGTGTTTTACAATTTACACTATTAACCATTCAGAAAGAACAAGACAACAACAATGCATTGGAGGAGGTTCATTCACCCTATTAGGTGGCGCTGCAAGTGGATAGAATTGCAATTGAAGAAACTTAACTCTCTAGCACTGAAATATGATAAAGAGCTTGAGGCATACGATTATAGAAAGCAGCTTGAGTTTTCGAAGTTCACAATAGATGATCATAATGTCAAGTCAGTACCTATATATGATGACAATCACAGGAATAAAGTTATGAAGAGAAAGAAAAGGAGCAAAGCTGAAGAGCGTGATATATCATCATATGTGTCTAATCACAGTATATTCTCTTACTATGGTATGACATTTCTTGGTTGATTGTAGTATTCTTTTTCCAATGTGTTGCTCCTGATGGAAACTCCTCTCTAATCTTTTTCTCTTTTTTTGTCACTGTACAGAGAACAAAAACCCTGGTGCTTGTATGGCAGATTTTCACAGCGATGCTTTGAGTGAGTGACAGTAATGTACACAATGGTGTTTTTGTTATTTATTTAACTACTAATATTCATCTTGTCATTAAATTGCAAATTATACAAGGTGAAAGACTTACATACACCATCTTTATTTTCAAGTGTCAATTGGTATGAGTATGACCATTTTTGTGAAACAGGTTTTAATTGATTGTTATATGTTTCCACTTTAATTTATGCAGATAATAATATTGAGGACTTGAAGTTTAATGATGTGTTGTCTTCTGTTGATCTTGAAGATAATGATAAAGCCGTCAATGACATCATTCAGAGGATTGAAGAACTACAGTCACAAGTTAAGATATTGAAAACTCGGATTGGTAACGTGATTAGTGAAAATCCAGGAAAGTTCTGTTCTATAACTCAATTGAGTATGATTGGACCATCTGATGGATTTAATCATTCTGGCGGTAATTCTGCTTCCTTTGTTGATAATGACAACAAATTTCCAATTAGTTTTGTTCGGGCTTCCCCACAGCATAAATCTAAGTTAAAGACAGAAGACCTACTTCTGACTGAAAATCCATTATCGACACAGGAAGAGATAACTCCCTTTATTAGAACCACCGATAAGCCCCAACTTGCATTTCTGCCAGAAAGTGTAAGGTTTTCAATACGAAAGTAATTTCAACTTGTATGTGGGGTTATATTTTCTGTTCTGCTTGCATATATTTGTGATAGTTATGAATAAGTATATGTGGTTGTGCTTGATATTGAGTATTGACTATTGTTGTGACAAGGGAGTTTTCCAATGCTTACACCAGCAATCCATGAAGAAAGTTAGTTGTTCACAAGAAGTGAGATGCCACAGAACTTCTTAACTAATTCAGTTTATGATTGCTCCATTTCTTGTTTTCCAGTTCAATGCCAAAATTTGAGATGTACATCCTGTTATTTTATTTAATTTTTCAAATGAATGGTCCTTGGGACTTGATTTCAAATTTTTCCTGTGTATAATAAAATATTTGTATGTAATTAGTAATTACTCTTATCCGGCTCTGTTATGTTCTAGGTTTTTAAAAAATTGGCATATCCTCCTAACCCTAGTTTTGCCCAACGGCCATGTCATATGCCTATATCATCCCTTATTTAGAAGTGCTTCTTGCGGGTACTTTGTTCTGATAATGCTGTGTTCTTTGATGTGAACTGTTATTTGAAATTTTGAGCTGACTTAAGTTATATGTTGGAAGGGAAAACTTGTTCCATCTATGTATGTTTTAGAATCATTACACAACATTGTAAATTTGTAATGTCCTTTCCTTGCAAGCAGACCAAGGATGAAATTCTTATTGAAAACCAGGCAGCTAAGGAAGAGTTGCATGATTTTGAGAGTGTTAGAAATCAGTTTATGGAGAAAACCAAGGAACCAGTTGAAGAGCAGAAATCCATTTCCACTGCTCAAGTTTCAGAATCTGACATGGACACTGAGAATGCTGGTTCTACTTTCAAAGCAGGTTCTACATCAAAATCAATTTTTGGTGGGAGTGCAAAGAGGGGAAGAAAGAAGGCTGGCTCAAAGAGACGGAAGCGGAGATAATCTGGTTAAGCTTAATCTGTTTGTGTCTTGAGATAACTGCAGGAGCTGAGAACTTATCAATCGTAATGTGTAAATTTTAGTTTTTAGTTATGCATAATTTTCCTTGCATCAAGAAATGAGTTCAATTGTACATGACGTGAATAAGGGTAGCGTGCTTTATCCTCAGAGGAAGCTTTTTAGTTATTGGAGAATTATTATTCAAGGAAATGGTGTTTCTTGATTTTCTTGGAACTGAATGAGTGTCTTCTCTCTTTGCCCCGTATGGTCACTGCATATCCTGTGATGCTTCTTGACAGAGATGATTACGTTCTTTCTATTTTTTTTCTTCTTCTTGTTTCTTACTAATGTTTTCATTTCATTCTCTTTAAGTGTCGAGTTCATACACATATTAATTATGCAAGAATATTATAAGGTAGCCTTTAAACTTCATCTTAAAACTAGTTGACATTTAGTAAAATTGTGTGACTTTTGTATAAATTGTCGTTAACTTGGTGCAACACAATTGTCCCTGGTTAGGGAAAGGTTCTACTAAGGCTTGGAAAACATTCTGGTGCCCAGTAATATGGTCCCTATGGAAATTTAGAAACAACATTATTTTAAGAGGAGGATAACTACCAGGATTCGAATTTTGACTTTTGTGTATGAAATAGAGATTATATTGAAAGAAAAATATCTATTTTGTGTATGTTTACGGTTTACGATAGAGAATTATTACCAATTCCAACTTCAGTATCATAGTTATAAGAAAAAGAAGGAAAAAAAAAAGGAGGGCAGCTAGATTTGGATAGCACGGGACTTGGATCTCTCTTGTATGGAAACAGGTTTTATTCTCCATTTCAAAAATAAAAAATAAAAAAGACAAAACTTAAGTATAGTACAATAAATATTGTTGATGTTACTGGTATATTAATACTTGTTATCATTATCTAAAAAAAAAATACTAATATTTTTTGAGTAAATTACATTACTCTCTCTTAAGAGATAAGATTATTACACTCTCTTTTCTTTTTAAGGGTTAACTTAGTGATTGTGTGAGGAATGATTGAGATAATTAGAAGTATAGAGATTTAGATTTAATTCTCATTGCGATCATCTTTGTAATCTATCATATCTTTAAAAAAAAAAAAACAATTTAGTTTATTTAACTTAATGCCATTAATGTAAATTACATTTTTCCTATTCTAAGAGATGTAAGTATTACATTATCTATTATGCATATGTTAAGATATAAAATAAATTACATTTTTATCTCTTAAAGTTTCAAGTATTATATTATTACTCTCTTATTATATTAACTTAACATCTCTAAAGAATTATCATTATAAGATTTTAAAAAATACTTTTAATTTAATTATTTATGAATTAAAAAATTATAAAAAATTTAATTAAATTTAAATTAATTTATTAAATTAATAAATAAAAAACTATAAATTAAATTATATATTATGCTTTTCACACACACATATTTTATTTAATAATAAATTTTTAATTTAAATATATTTATTTAAAAATTATATATTTAATATACATGTTTTAGTATTAAACTAATTAAATATAATAAATAATATTTTATCATAAAACACTAATTTATTTATATTATTTTATTTATTTATTTATTAAAATATTACATTAACTATATTGATTAAAGAATATCTTAACACTTGTATTTAATTTTATTATACTTATATATATATTATTTTATTTTGATATGTAACCTTAAAAATATTTTGTAAAGATAATAATGAAATTTTTTTCAGATATATATAGCTAATTTTAGTAAAATTTATAATAAATTTTAAAATAATAATTAAATATGTAAATTAAGAGATATATTATTAAAGTATAGTATGTTAAACAATTTTAAAGAAGAAAATTTTTATAAGAAGGGAGAATAGTATAATATTTACATATATGAGGAGATGTGAATGTAAAGAATGTTTTGATGATTATTTTTTTTCGTGAAAATTAATGAAACTTTAACAGAAAATTTAAAAAAATAAAAAAAGTGTTATATATTAAAATCTATTGACTATTTTTAATATAAAAATGGAAGATAGTGTAATATTTATAACTTCTATGAATGGTAGTGTAACTTAATATTTATAAAAATAGAAGATATTCATGTCTCTAATAGTTATTCACTAATAAAATATTAAAAAATTATGTATAATTATTTAAAAAAATTTAAGATTTTTTTTACATCTAAAGATATAATAGTCCATTAAAAAATAGAGACCAAAAAGCGATTATACATCCTGTATCCCCTTTATATCTTATATCCCCTTTATAATTAAATCCGCAAGCCACCAGATAATACAAGCAATAGTATATTATTATTACGACAAAATCATCATAAAATTACATGGTTTCGGTGTTTGTGTTTTGCTATATGCAGTGCTAGGAGGTCAACTCATTTTCTCAATAGGTATTTTTGCTTGTCAATCAGTTTCATCTTGCTCCAAATCCAACACGTCTTTTTTTTTTTTTTTTTTTTGTGTGTGTGTGAGACCACATGTCACTTTGATTACGTGATATTTCTTCCTGATCTGTACATACATTTCTCCTGTATCTTGCAGTGTAGAATAAAGTCTCCAACAAAATTTCAGCCCAAGAATCCGTTGCAGAATACAATTAGTCAAATCATTCTCCTTTCAGCTATCTCGTGTTTCTATTGTCAATAGATTATTTCAACTTTCATGTGCTTACTTAACTGCCCCAAGGTTAACTGAATACCGTCCGCATGCGAATGCAAGTCATCAGCAGCCACAAACTCTCTAAAGCTACCACCAACCTCAATAACACTGCAAGCAACCTCTTTACTCGTTCCTCTTTTCTTCATCATTTGCTTAACACCCTCCACATCTGTCCACCTTTGCTCCGTAGCATATATGTTTCTCAACATCACATAGTTTCCAGCAACGTCCTCATCCATATTCACCACCTCTTTCAGCACTCTCTCTGCCCGCGAAACATCATTAAAGTAACCACAAGCAGACAGAAAAGAACTCAATATTATCCCATTAGCATCATAAGGCATGTTCTGAATCAACTTTTCAGCCTCATCCAAGCATCCAGCCCTTCCTAGAAGATCAACCATACAACCATAATGCTCAATCTGAGGTGCAATTCCAAACCCCTCCATTGAATTGAACCATCTTCTTCCTTCCTCCACCAGACCACAATGGTTGCAAGCAGATAACACCCCAATCAAAGTCACCTCATTCGGCCCAAACCCTTCCTCCATCATCCTCGCAAACACCTCCAACGCCTCCTTCGCACATCCATTGACAGCCAAACCATTTATCAAAGCATTCCATGAAGCCGTTTCCCTCTCACTCATCTCCTCAAAAACCACTTTGGCTTTCGCAACTTCGCCACATTTGGCATACATATCAACCAAAGCAGTCGCAACACGAACCGACCTATCAAGCTTCCTCCTTTGGACAAACCTATGAATCCAACCACCCAAATCCAAAGCACCCAAATCAGCCACAGCAGGAAGAACACACACAACAGTCACCTCATTCGGCTCCACCGCCGCCACCTGCATCTCACGAAACAACTCCAACGCCTCATGAGACCTTTTGTTCTGGCAATAACCCCCAATCATGGCATTCCAAGTAAACAAATTCTTCTCCGGCATAAGATCAAACATCAACCTGGCATTCTCAACATCACAATTACCACAATACCCAGAAACCATACTAGTCCAAGAAACCACATTCCTCTCCCTCATCTCATCAAACAACTCCCTCGCCAAACCAACACACCCCGCCTTCACATACCCATCAATCATCGCATTAAAAGCCGCAACATCCCGCTCCTCCATCTCATCAAAAAGCCTCCTAGCCTCACCCATATCCCCACCCCTCGCATACCCAACAATAACCGCAGTCCACGAAACCCTGCTTCTCACAGACATTTCATCAAACACCTTCCGCGCACACCCCACACTCCCGAGCTTCACATACAAATCAACCAACGCAGTGGCCACGTACAAATCAAAGCAAAACCCATTTTTTACCACCAACCCATGAAGCTGATGACCCTCTCTCAACGCCGCACGCGCCGAGCAACCCTTGACGAGCGCGGTGAAGGTGTACCCGTCGGGGACAAACGGCGGCGTTCCGCGGCGGAGGGTGCGGAAAAGGGCGAGGGGCTCGGAGAAGTGGCCGGCGGCGAGGTGGGCGGCGAGGATGGAGTTGCAGAGGAAGGTGTCGCGCGTGGGGGCGAGGTCGAAGAGGCGGCGCGCGTGGCGGAGGAGGGGGAGGGGGCGCGTGGAGGAGGCGCAGGTGGTGATGAAGGTGGCGAGGAGGTTGAGGTTGTGGTGGAGAGAGTGTCGGAGGATGAAGGCGTGGATTTGGAGAAGGGTGGGGAAGCTGTTTGTCTTGCGTTGGAGAAGGTTTAAGCATTTTCTCTCTGCGTTGCTCCATTCTCCCATCGATCACTGTTACTCTTCTTTCTTTTCGGCCCAAATTATATCCATTTTCTTTATTATGCTTAACCAACTTTTTATTTTACTTCATATACTATTTTTTTTCTATTTTAATTCCTATGCGATATGCCAGTAATTTTTAATGCTTTAATTCTCACTATAATTAAATCTATTTTGTTTTATATTTCTTTTTCGATTATCCAATACATTATTATTATTTTTTCTCTTTTCTTCTTATTTATCATTTTCCAGCTCAATCCATTCTATTTTGTGATGAACGTTAAACGACATTTTTTTGGGACGTATTCAACAGTGCAAAATTTGTCACATTGTTTTCTTTGTTGCATATATGATAAATTAATTATTTTATTTTTTTATTTATTTCTATATCAGAGTGTAAACAAATATTGGGGTGTGCACGGAATATTTTAGCTAATTTCTACAGTGAGTCCTTTCTTTTTACCGGGTAGAACTCGTGTCACTTTTATTTTATTAAATACATGTTTCATTTTCTATTTGAGATATCTCACTTCAAAAGGTGAAATAAGATGAATTTATTAAATACATGTTTTATTAAATACATATTAGTTAATTTTCTTAATTATGTTATTAGGTTTCCATTCTATCTAATCTAACTATGTATTTGGAGAAAATTTTGTTGAAAGAGAAAAACTTTTTTTTTTTAATTTAAAAAAATGTTGAAATATCAAGTTAAATCAAGTCAAAATCATTATAACTTGATCATTAATGAACTACGCCTTAAATTGTATATCTTTCAATTTTAAAAATACGACTTGATCATCTGACTTTTTAGAAAAAAAAAATAGTTTGTTATCATAAAATTTATGATTGATTTTTTTGACTAATTAGATACTAATTATTTAATTTACTAATGTCTCTTGAAATCTTGAAATATATGTAATGTCCTTAGTCAACTTCTCAAGGGGACAGGATTGAAGTATCTCAAATCTAAGCAAGTTTACGAGATTCATAATAATATTCCTCAAGTAATAGAACCTATAAGTCTATCTTTAGGTTAATTTCATAAATTATTTTCCAAGGCTACAAGATTAATTAAAGAAAAACCAATTCAATGAATCATTAAAAGGGAAAGATAAACTTTGTGGGAACTTTAAACCAAGACATACAATATGTTTGGTTAATTGTTTAAACTCACTAAATTTACGTTCAACGAAGAAGTTACAAAATATTACTTTCAATTTTAGTGCATTAAGAAGAGGGAATTTCAGTTTGCAAATGTGCAAATGGATATCTAAACATGCACATAATTATCTACACAAGTCATAATTTAAGTTAAATCAATATCTTAACCAGAAGAATATAATTTAGCTATTCATGAAAAAATACAAAGAAAAAAGAAAAGAGAAGAGAAAATAATCTTCATTGATGTTTCTTCATAACCCTAATATACCCCTACCTTGCAAAAAAAAAAGTGTTGGACTACCAACGTCCCCTTTTTTTTTTCTTTTTGTTAGTGGTTTTACAAACCTAATGCCATGCCATTGAAATTCCTATGCTCAAGCACTAGGTGTTTAGGGAGCAATTTTTTGCCAAGTTTCAAGCACCATGACCTTAGGTATTGAGAGAAGGCTTCCAACTTCATTTTTAATGCTATGGCATTAAGTCTTTCGGTCCTTTAGCTTTAGCCCTTGCTTCTTCCTTTGCCTTAGCAATTATCTCAGCACCTAAACAACCAAAACACACATTCAGTTTAACATTTGATAATGCAACTAAACTAATGATCAAGAATACTATCAAACGGACTATTGAGATTGAAGTGTAAAGAAAACAACATAAACACATTGTAATAACTATCAAAAACTTGGATAAAGGAAAACAACTAAGTTCAACTTAATTTGAACCTAATTATCATTGAGAGGACCAAAATTTCTAAATTAGCAATAAAATTTATGCTAGCTAGGTCAAGCAATATGTAGAATCATGAGGGAAAAAAAAGTATGGGGGTGCTTTTTTTAATAATTTTTTTAGTTTAATTATGATAACTAAAATCTAGACTTATCTAAATCTTATACATTAATACTATTACTAATCTAACTATATTAACAAGAATACCAATACATGGGGAAAAAAGGTAAAGTAGTTAGTTATTTACCTAAACATCCATATAATATATAAATAAATAAATAAATAAAACCTCTTTTAAAAAAAGAAATTATAGCACTAATCAACTTATATACTGATATCTATGAGAGTATAATTTGTATAAACTGTCATTGTAAAGAATTTTTACATAAACATCCAATAAAATTTGACTAGTTTGCCACACCATCTTATTCATTAATATGATTAGGCAATAAGGTGAATGTTTGTGTAGAAATACTTTACATTGATAGTATATATACATTAAACACATGTTCATAATGAGGTAAAGGTATTAGAATGTTACTCAGTGGTATGTATTACATAAGGGACAGATGATGTTGTCCTTGTGGATGTGTGCAAGTACAGGTAAATCAACGTGAGGGTTTTCTTCAATTTCAGGTGTAGTTTCAGGTTCTTGTTTAGTTGTAGGTGCAGGTGCAATTTGAGGAGGTCTTCAATTTCAGGTGTAGTTTCAGGTTCTTGTTTAGTTATAGGTGCAGGTGCAATTTGAGGAGGTTCTTCAATTGCAGTGGTAATTGGAAGTTGTTGTTTAGGTGTAGGTTGCACATGTGTATTATTTGATATTGTCTTTCCAATGAAGGTTAATTTTATGATCTTAATAGCAATAAGAGCCAAAAGTGTGGCTGAGGGCACAAATATAACATCAGGTATGGCATTCATAAGTGCTAGTTGAGGTACTATTGATCCTGTTTTCTTAGCCATCATGGCTGCTGGTGGTGCCACTATTGCAGTGATCAACATAGATTCATCTGATTTGTTGATGTTCACTTTCTCATTGATGAAGTTAATGAACATCTTTTTTTTGTATTCCTCGTTGGTTTTTTTCCAATCTTCGAACAAGTCCTGGACAATGAGAGTTTGTATTTAGCCTTACTACGTGTCTGCCATTGAAGAGAGATTAAGGTTGGTTGAGATAAAGTAATTTGGAAGATGAAAGCATATCCACATGAAAGTGACAGAAAGATCAATGTGATGTCATGCATTTATTATATTTTAGAAACTAAGGTGATGTTAAATATATCTTTTGAGGCCACATCAGTATCAAACCCTTCAGAGTTCAAAATGCTAGTTATTGGATCGGATTTGTTTTTGTTAGCTGTCAAAGAATTTTATGCTATAGGTTAATGAATGCAGAACTAAACTATATGCCTTAACTGTATAATACAAATATGATCGATACATGCAGAACTAACCTGTACATCCTTATATGATGGTGCAACATAATGCTTGCCGGGTAAGGCCATGTTGATAGTGCTGCATTAAATTTATTAGCAAGTATCAAATATGAGTGACAAAGATTAACCACACCTTTTTGAGAGAGTGGACAACAAGAAAAGTTTAATAAATGATGGCATGTGTATGGAAAAATATTGAACTTAAAATGTCGATCTTCTTAAAATTCCACTCAGCCTTATACATATTTCAATCGAGGGTATATTTTGCAAAGAAAAAATCAATTGAAAATATTTCCACGATATAAATGAAAGTCCATATTCAGACCACAAGTCATAATCATCATCCTATGTGAAACTTTTATCATTAATTGTTCCAAGGCAATTAATAAATGAACGATCTACTACATTTTTCATTGGTTCGAATTGAATTACATGCTTACTTGAAGGTATCAAGAATGCCAACATTGAACCCATCAAATTCCTGGATATCCTTCTCAATAAATTGATTATACAGTGTGTTCACTACCAAGTTCACCAATTGGGTCGTTGATAGACCTGAGATAATGAATCAAAATTTAGTATTAGTATATGACAAATGAGTATTACGAAAGGGAAGAAAATGAATGACCTTTTCCTCCAATGAAGCTCATAGCCATAATTTTTGTGTTATTGTGAACACTAGAACACAAAAGCAAAAGCTGTGTAGTTGAAGAAAGATTTAGAACGATAGAGAAGTGGGTTAATTAATGGTATCTCTAACTTTGTCGTTAAAGAAAAGGATGGCTTTCTTTATACACTTCAAATAATAAAATGTTATCTTTTTTTTTAGTTGTTTATTGATCTGATTCTTGGCGTGAAATATCTTGCGACTATACTTAAAGCAGAATATAACGTGTTTGAATAATGCAGCTTATATTAATCTATCTGCATTCACATTCTGCATTCAGAGTTTAGAAACATTCTTTCTTTGTGGCACAACTCTATTTATGTTAAAGCATTGTACGGTAAATCAAACATGGTTTGTCGTGGAAGCAAAAATATGAATAGATTCTAGGTTGAATAATAAAAAAAAGTGTAAAGTTATATATATATATATATATAAAATAAAAAAAATAAAAAAAAAAAAGTATTACAACGTACCTTACTATGAAAAGGCAATATTATTATAATTTGTAATAAGAAAATTATTTTTTTATTAAACCTTTAGTTAAAATTTTTAAGATTTTCTTTTTTTGATTTAATAGGAGATATAACTCCATACTAAAGTTGGATATCGAACTCTCAATTCTTGATCAAAGACAATAAGTATCAAACTTCTCAACTTTCAGTATTAATATCTTTAAGATATTCATTAATAGAAGCTTATTATTAATATTATTACTATTATTATGACCATATTTCTATTTTCACACACATACCAAAAAAAAACAAAAAAGTAATATTTTCTTATAAGAGATTAATTCGTATCACACTTTCTTTCTACTTTAACGTGTAACTATTAGTGTTTTGAAAATTGGTTAGAAAACTGGTGAATAGATCATAGGTGTTCCTTTTAAATAAATCAGAGAATCAATCTAGAAAAAAAAAATCAAAAAAACAAATGTGTCAAAAATCATTAAAATTGGTTAATAAGTGAAAAATGCTAATTACAACATTATTTTTTATTCTTTTTTCCTTTTTTCTTGACAATATTTTGATTTTTTTCTTAAAAAAAGTGGGAAAAAATAACATACTTGTCATTTTTTTTATTCTCTGTTATTAGTGTATCGATACTGTTGCGTTGTTAAAACTCACAACTCACACTTCAATAATATATATTTGATTTAAACTTTTGTGTATAACTTTAAATATTAAAAGTTTATAAAATTATGTTTTCTTTTAGTTTTATAAATCATGATATTATAAATTTAAATATTAAAAGTTTACAAAATTATGTTTTCTTTTAGTTTTATAAATCATGATATTATGTTGCTTTCGTATTGTTTAACTATTATTATTTTATTAATCCTAATACAACTATAGTTGAGCCAATAAAACTTAAATCAGTATTTTAACTGGTTTAATTATTAACCGAATTTTATTTTTAGGGTAATTTTTCCATGTGGACTCAACATCTTGAAAAAATACTGTTAAATTTCTTCAACCAAATTTGGAATTTTAGATGATTGAAATTTGGTCAAAATAAAAAAGATGATTGAATTTAATATTTTGGTGAAATTCCTATATCATTAATGGAGACATTTAAAACTTAGATTTCTTACTTCTAAAAAGTCTTCAACAATAAGATACTGAAAATTAGTTTGAAATGAAATTGACAATTGTAGACAGAAAATGAAAAGGTGCATCTCTAATTCACAAATTTACTTATGTTAAAACGAGTTGAAGTAAAATACAAACGATGATTTACCATTATTGTTGTTGTAGGTAAATATTAGGGAAATTTTAAAATAAAACAAATATTTTGAGAGGAATTATAGTTTTGTAATTGGCAAATTACACTGATATATAATGGATCCACTGATCCTACGAGACAAGGAATGAATGCAACCAAGCACTAACATAATTTTTTCACATTTTAATTTTCACTGGGATTTTCACATAGAATTGACCCTAGTTAATGTGTAATGCCTTTTCTTATTATGAATGGAATTTATGAAACAAAAGTTTTTAACCAGCATGCACTTGTGTAGAAGTGACACTAATTAGTGTAGTGAGAGTACAATTATCACAATTCCATTCATATCTACAAGTTATCTTTCAAATATAAGTTAAAAGAGAATCACAATTCACAAGGCAATGCATGCAGTCATTGCCTTTATTTGATAGGAACAAAGACATACTTCAACATATATGAGTATCCTTTCAACATAAATTGTCATATTAAATTAACCTAAAAAGAATTGTTATCGATGGATAATGAAGCCAAAAATTATCTGTATAGGAAAACTTTTACCTTAAATTATCTGTAGGGGAACCTTTCCCTTAAAGGTCACGACCATCTAATTTCATGTTCATTTTAGAGTAACTTTCCTTTACAAAAGGAGACAAATGCAGTAAAGGCTGTATATACAAAATATAGTGATGTGACTAGGCAGAAACTGTTTTCTCAGTTCTACAGTCTTTGCGGTTGCATACATTTCTAAAGGGATAGTTGAGGTTGCCGCATTTTTTACAAGTCCAACTACCTTCAGGAATAACTGTTGTATTTCGTTGGTTTGAGATCTTCGATAAAACATGGAAAAGGAAAAATCAGCATATAATGTTACATTGAAAACAACAAAAGCAAACATCAACTTTTGGACATTAGAGCATTGAACAAAGATGTAAACACTCACAGGTCTGGCAGCTCCACAGTGTTTCATGTTGCAAAAAGTTCTGAAGGCAAAGTTAACATTGTCACATTTTGGACAGATCCAGTCCCCTTCAGATAAACCATCTGGCCCTGCATAGACAATGCAAATGGTATGTTTCTTTCATATTTCTTTTTTATTGCTCAATGTATTGATATGGTTTGTGTCATGTTACCGCAAAGCTTCATATAAATGCAAAATAAAACATATACTTTGATTTCCCCCACTGCCCAAATGTTTCAGAGGGCATTGAAGTTATGACAGACATTAGAACCACTCGGTTCGGAAGTTTAGTGTGGAGTGTGGACCATAAGGCCAAAATCTAAACAGACAGTATGAACTATAAAGGCTAGCTGGTAGTAGCTGGGAAACAGGCAAATTATAATAAGTTTCACACTCAACAGATTTCTTAAACCCTTTTCTGTTCATAATTCATATTTGGGACACAATCACTTTCAATATCTTTTTATATATTATGGTAAAAAGGTGAGCATTTACATCAAAATTTGCTTCTTTTCTTTTGTGGAGCACAATTTGCTTTTTAAACAGATAAGCTCACAAACAGCACTTATTTATAAGAAATTCTCCCACAAGCTAGTTTATTAACTACTTAGCCAAGTTATATATTTTAAAAGACCACTGAGCTAACATTTTGTAAAAGACAACTAATCAAAGAGCAAGCAAGTTCTTTGGACGAATTGATATATAAAACAGCACACAAACAAAGATACCAAGATAAACTAATAAAAATAATCACTTGTTGCAATAGCGACTTCAACAAACTACAAAAATACAAAAATAGTAAATGTTACCCAAAACCAGAAGAATAAAGAATTTCTAGATTGAACAAATAATTCAATGTTGGAAAATGAAGACATCACAATGTACAGGTTGAATATAAAGATAATCATTATGTAAAAGATCCTGAAAATACCTCCTCTGCGTTTTCGAGATGCAAAATTATCAACAACTAACCCTTCAGCCCATGGAGGACTTTGAAAACCATAGCCATAGCCATCAATTCTAGGCTGTGGACCATAATCAATACCTGATTCAATGGCAACTTAATTATAGGTGCACAACAAAAGAGACACTGATGCAGAATGAACCAAGAAACAACATGAATCATATATTTTTGGAGTTTGAACGAGAACCAAAACACAACCCTCTAGATTCAGAACTCCATAATAATCTTATCAATCAAAATATCCAAGTTGAATAACAAAGGCACCTAAAGAGGCATCTTTAGCATGAGTAGTCAAAATCCCAGTCAAATTCTGCTCAAATATAAAATCCACTTTCTACATAAGATGCAGGGTTCAAGTTATGAGATTTTGTTATATACTTATATCAAGTTATCAACTACAATCATTGCCAAATTAAAATTTTAAAAGGCGAAAGAATAGCTCGCTTTTGTACTTATCTTCCAGCTCAGTAATTTTTTCATCAAAAAATAACAGCCTAAAATTGCAGACACAACTTGTGTACTTTGCCTATGTTTATATTTATGTCATCAGAAAAATATTAGAAAAATTAAATAATCCAGCCAGGAGTTCCACTATAAACCAAAATATACAATTGCATTTGAAAAAATGTCATGGATAAGTTATGTGAAATTTGAATTTAAAATTAAAAGACAAAATGGCCTCTGTCAAATGTTTATAATGTCTGAGTAATATTGAGTGAGTATTAAATAAAACTTTTTCACACTTATTGCAACATTAACAAAAAATTCACACTTCTATCAGAGACTTTTTTATTTTTTACCTCATCATTTTTCCCTTCATCTTTTTGGGGAAAATATATACTAGCAAAGCAATTAATTTACTTGCTCTCTATTCCATTCTAGAATACAAAAGATTGATTACATCTAAACCAAAGTGTAATGTTTTAACAATAATTTTGTCATATATCTTCAAAGCAATCTTCTCCATATGTTATAAAATTGTACAGTGAAACAGGCTTCTCAATTAGCAACAGTTCTTAAGGGGATTATCTAGTGAGAGGGAGCCACTTCGGGGTAAAAAAAACAGCTTGAAAAGAAATTGCTGATAAAATTACTGGAAGAGTACCTCCAAAGCTTCCAGGTGGGAACATGGGCAAAGGACTGTATGTTGCACGGGGCGTAGCATACAGACCATAATCATACTGCATGCCAGCATGTGGTATCGGGGATCCAAACTGACTTATCATTCCATATGATGGAGGAGGAATGCCAACACCAGTTACACCACCATAGTAGAAGGGATGACTGTTTCTATACGGACTTGTAATTGGGGCAAGCTGCAGATCCAAATCAGATAAACACTCAGCACAAGTAAAAGTTATCATGCATAAAACAAGAATTATACAAATTTTTAATCCAATGTTGTCACTTTGAGTTATCCTTAACCAAGAATAAGCCCAGTAGAATCTTAATAACTCAATTCAATAGTCAATAAAATAAGGAGAATCTATGTTCATAATGTTTTTAGTGAATCTTAATAACTCAATTCAATAGTCAATAATATAAGGAGAATCTATGTTCATAATGTTTTAAGTGAATCTATGTCATGAAGATGATCTTCATTCCTCTTTTAATTTTTTTTCGCATTCAAGATTAAACATCATAGATGGGAAAAAATTATTTTGCACATCATATTCCACTAATTATTCATCCAGAAACTAAAACATGAAGTATTTCAGATTCACAGGAGCTTCAGATCTTTTACTGTTCAAGTGATCAAATTGCAAGAAAAGGATTAAATATAGATTTGTTTCTGCAAACAAAATTCAAAAAATGATAAGAAAACAAGAAACAAGATATAAAATAGGGTCTACCGTAGTTTCTTTCAAATATTTTTTTCTTTTATTATTCTGGTCTAATAGGTCATCTATCTGCACACATCTAGTGCACAGAAGTTTGCCCATTGCATACTTTTTCAAATAAAAATGATCATTCACCAAAGCTGGAGAACTTCAAATGACAATATAAAACAAGCACACACTTACTGGAGTTAGGAGTGGACCAGTTGGTCTTGGGGCACCACAGCGTCCCTGGTTGCAAACAGTTCTAAAAGAAAAGTTTAAGTTCCCACAATTAGGACAGGTCCAGTCTCCATCTTTACGTGAAGCTGATTACAATGGAAACAAGCAACCTCTTAGCATTATAAACCTTTCCAAATTCACAAGCAAAGAGCACTGCATTAACATAAATAGGTGGTCTTTCACTAGGTCCATGCACCAGGTCATCTCCTACACAAAATAGGGGTCACCAAAAGGGGCAGTTTTAAACTTTTAACGCATTTCTAAACAGCTAAAAACAAGGTCTCTCTCACTCTCTATCTCCACTCCATGGCAACAAATTAACTAGCATGAACCCGGAGCAATGAAAATGAACCAACTTTCATAGTTAAAAACCAAAGACAAATCAAGCAAAGTAGTTTACTACTGTAATTTCCATTGAACTCTCTTTATTTTAATCACTGCCAAATTAAATTGCCTATTAAATAACAGTTGCAAGCCCTTTTAGTGCAAATGTTTTTCCCTTTTCTTTCTTGGAAGAGAATGTTTTCTTCCCCCATTTTTTTGACCTGGCCAATCAAGAAACATCCCTTTGAAAAACAAAATCACTTTGAAATATAAAAATAAAATAGCTTCTCCCAATCAATAAATCAGAGTCTCAGATCTCCCCCTTCACTACACAACCAAGCTTCCACCACCAAATGAATATCATAAGAAATAAACATTTCTGATACACTAGTCCATGGTCCTATTTGTATAAGCGTCTCAACAAATACTTATAGAAGAAGAAAATAACTTCACAATAAGTACTTATAAAAGAAGAAGAAGAAGAAGAAGAAGAAGAAGAAGAAAGGTCAAATGAATTAAAATTTTTCCGTAAGTTAAAATCAATTTATGCTTTTAAACCTTTAAGTACATGTTCATAACCCACAAACAACTCTACACACACAGAGAATGCTCTCTCAGAAAGCAAAAATGGTCTCTATTGACTTTCAACATCACATTACATGCCTAATCAAAAACACATTTCACCACATAGATTTGAACTCACAGTCAATAATACAAAAGGGTAGTACTAATTCCTCTTGATATATAGACAAAGCCAAAACCAGAACATTATTGCAACCCAAGATAAGAAAACAAGGCATCAAAAGAGGGTAAGAAGCTACTTGCAGCAAAAAACACTATAAAGATTATATTTTTACCGTCGTTTCGAAACCTTTTTGATCCAAAGGAACCTTGATTATCATCCTGAGAGCAAGGGAACAAAAGACGCAGATAGTAATATAAAAAGAGAAAAAAGAAGAAAAAAAAAAACTTTAGTATGAATGAGACAAATATGGAACATAGCATAGAAATTGAAGCAAACTCACCTTTGTAGAAGCCATTGGAACTTAGAAGGACTCGAAAATTGTCACAGAGAAAGAGAAACGAAAACGAAAACGAAAACGAGTGAGAAAATAATGACTGGCACGGTTACTTATAAATAAATAAAAGAATGAAAACATCAATATTAATATTTGAAAAAAGGAATATAAAATAGAGTAAAAATTAAATATATATTAATTCTCATCGTGTGAACTGTAAAAATAAAATAAAAGATAATTAATAATTAAAATGTATTTATTTATTTCATTTAATACTTATTTTATTTTTAATCAAGTTTAATATATTTATAAATATTAAATATGAAAATGTTAAAAATATATACATATATTTATATAACTAATATTTTATAAGAAAATTAACCCGATTAGTTAAATATTGCACATGATGTAATTCAATCTAGTTGAATTGAGAATTAGTCACAATTATTGAGATGAATTAGTATTTTATTTGAATGTTCTTTGTATTTTACCTGATTCATATTATTACTTCATTGTGAAAAATATGCGAGTTTTTAATATATATTATTAAATCTTTTTTAGTGTTTTTTTTTTTCACAATTTGATATCAAAGTTTAATCTTTGATGAAATTAACTTTTTAGTATCAAGTTTGGTTCTTGTTGATCATAAAAAATAAATATATAATTAATATAACTCATATTTTACTTTGTATAATTCTTGTGATAATTATTTATTTTATATTAGTATTTTAGCATATACATTACATATAATAAATTTATAAATTTATTAAAAAAAATGCTTTTAAATATATAACAAATTTTAATATAAAATTAAATGTATGTAGTTCTTAAATTTTTGTTAATTTTCATTATTTTTAGTATATGAAATAATTTATTTGATTTTAGTCTTTAATTTTTTTTCATTAATAGAATTCCTGATGTTAGGGACCAAAAATGTTAATGGGAGAAAAAATTCAAAGATTAAAAATAAAATCAGCAAAAGTTTTGGGGCTAAAACTAGTAAAAATAGAAACATATTTAATTCTTAAATATATAATTAGTAAGAAAATAATTTATGCACCGAATTTACATCCTACATGTGAGGTAAGTATTAGAAATCTGATTGATTATCAATATAATAGTTTTTACACCAATAATGCACGGTCATTAAACATATATTGTAAATTTATAATACTTATACATGATAATTATTTTAAAAGTTATATACATCATAATTTATGACTTGCGCACGATAACCATGTACATAATCATTAAACCTTATCATAATATTTACACATGATAATTATTCTAAAAGTTATACACATTGTGAAATATAATTGGTTGAAAGTGTAAATTGCATAACCATTAATAAATATTTTTGAACAAATAACTTATATTTAAAAATTTATAGTAAATATGTATATTGTAATATAAAATTTTTAACTATTGGTATTTTTAAAACATTAAAATTCAATTTAAAAATAAAGATAAAAATAGATTAAAAAATATAAGACTTAAGAAAAATTTTTAAAATGTTATTGTCAAATAAAACTTCTTAAAAATATTTTTATTAAATAATATTTCTTAAAAATGTTATTTTTTTCAAAATAACTATTCTAATATATATATATATATATATAATTAGATAATTATAATTTATAATAAATATATGCTTTGAAATATAAATTTAAAATTTATAATAAATAAATATTTTGAACAAATACTTTATATTTTAAATTTATGATAAACAATTTATATTGCACTATCAATCAATAAAAATAATATTGAGTGTCTCTAAAGAACCAATTTTGTTTAGAGGTTTTTAACCCCTTCCTAATCCTCCTAATAGGTGAGAAAGGAGAAGTTCAGAACAAATTTTTTTTTTTTTATGACAAGATGGTGGGTCAACAACATGTGTTTTTAGGGACAAAAAAGGTGGATTTGCTAGCGAATAACAAGTTTATTATTGAATTTGAAGATTGTGGTAGGTTGAAATCCAAGTCCTGTGTGATGATAATATCCTTTAAGATTTGTGATAGTCACGGAAAAATGTTATCATTGTAAAATTACTTGGTGAAAATCTAAGTTTTTTCACCCCCATGACACATTAAGATTGACATGATAGTTAACAAAAGGATGTGATATTGCTCACGTGAGACATGGATTCTCTATGGTGAAATTTGATCTTTCACAAGACAACAATTTAGTCATTTGTGGGGGGCCTTAAATGATCTTTGACCATTATTTAGCAATATGTTATTATATACCGTATTTTTTAGCCTGTGAGATTAAGATTGAAAAACTGGTGGATTTGTTTTCCATCCTTAGGCATAAATATAATGATAAGAGAATTTTATTTTCATTGTTGGCAATGGTAGGAGTATCATTTTGATGCCTTTGGAGGAAGATTTCCAAATGCATGTGAAAATCAATCTAAACCATCAAATTGGTAGAATTTGGTTTTGTAACCATTGGTTTAATGTATGAAGGACTTCACCTCGTCTGCAGAAGAAAAAAAAAAGTGACTTATACTAACACATTGTGGGTTTATGTCCAATTAAAGTAGATGGGGTAAGAATTGTAGGTGAGGTCAATAAAGATGGCATTGAAGGATGTAAACCAATGACTTAAAAGGCTAGTAACCCTAACATTAATGATGACATTAATGGTGATAAAATAGGTTTAGAGAAAGAAGATAATTACAACTATTGGTTTGTTGTTTCTAAAACTAAATAATGTAAAAAAGAAAAATACTCGATTGGTATAATAATAAAATAAAAAGTAATTCAGTTACAAAGAATTTAGAGAAACAATTAGGAGGTAATATATGAATGCTGACAAAATTAAATGAGGGGACAAAGGGAATCTCCAATGATAAGGTAATTAGGAACAATCATGGAATGACACAATATGAAAGAGAAAATATAAATGAAGGCAAGCATATTAAAAAGGTGCGTCCTAAGATTAAAAACAAAGGCAAAAATCAACCTAGTCACATTTAATTCCTCACATGACCCATTGTTCCCATAACCTAAAACATGGGTTTATGTGGTAATGTTTCAAAGGAGAAAAATAAAGCTCTACAAGTCCCCAATAGCAACCCAACACATCAGTTTTTGAAGGCACCAATAGTTACGAAAGCACATGGAGTAGTTATGACAATGCCTATGCAAATTTTAACACCAAATAGAGTGAGTTTTTCTAGAACCTAAGGGTGGAAATTTTTTTTGGTAAAGGGATTAATGATATGGTTCTTATTGTAAAAAAATATGGTCTGACAAGAAGACGTGCATGATGAAGATATAGTGATGGAAACCCTTATGGGGCAACCCTATTTAGTTTTATCCCATTCTCCAATCCCAATATTATTTCCTTATGATTGACTTCACAAACTTTTCTTTACTAGCATGAAATGTGTGTGGATTTAATAACAATAAATGTTAGTTATGCTACAATAACGTGCATGAGCTTAACATGAAATTTAAAGCTAATTTGGTTTTCCTTTTTTAGACCATACTCCTTTTGCAAAAGCTAGAAGATTTTGGGACTAGGAGGACTTTAATCATATGGCTATTTAAGAGGCATAAGGGCACTTTGGAGGTGCTTGGATGCTGGCTAATATGAGGAGCTTTGGAGTTGTTGAATCCATGGAGTAGTGTGTCCTTATGTATTTCTCTTATGAAGATATCTTGGGTTTCTTTGTTGTTTATGCATGCCCAAACTTTTCTAAGAGATAATAACTTTCAAAAAAGTCTAAAAGACATTAAACAAAAAATTCATACTCTTTAAATGCTTGAGTGAGATTTTAATGAAATTATGCTTCCATTTGAGCTAAGGAAAGATGTGTTTTCTATACATGCAACTTTTTTCAAACACCATTTTAAACAACTATAGGTTGATTGACATGGGATATTTTAGCAACAAATACACTGGGAAGAGGCATCTTGTAGGAGGAGGCCAATTTCCAAAAGGTTGGACCGAGGCATTTGTAATCAAGAAAATTGAATATTTAGGGTCTATTTGTATAAACTTTTCCAAAAACACTCATGGGATAAAAATTAAGGGAAAAAAAACATATCTATAAGCTAAAATTAGCTTATGCATAAGCTGTAACACCCCGAATTCTCTATTAATGCAATATTTACTATTATTTATTTTTATATTTATAAAGATTATTTTCTTATAGTTGTTTTTGTTAATTAAAAGGGGTTTTTATAAAATATTGTACAGGTTTTTAATAATTTAAATTGTTTGTGAAAATTTTTATAACATTCTGTTTTTTTTTACGCTAGAACAGGCTGTTCCAAAAGTGGAACGGGCCGTTCCAGACAATGAAAGTAAGTTAATTCTGAAGCAGCAGAATGGGCCGTTCCAAAAGTGGAACGTGTCGTTCCAAATGTGTAAAATGGCCCATTTGGGTTTTCCCAGAACGGGTCGTTCCCAAAGGGAAACGAGCTGTTCCAAGGTTCTAAATTTGCCTAAAAAGTTAAGTTGGAAACGGGTCGTTCTCCTTATGGTCAATTTGTGTAAATGTGAACTCCAGAACGGGCCGTTCTAATTTTAGAACGGGCCGTTCTGCTTTTCGGAAACAGGCCGTTCCAGTTGAAAATTTTGCACAGATTCGAAGAATCCGGAACGGTCCGTTCCGAATTCAATACGGGTCGTTCCGAGTACAGCAGGTTGCCTATAAATAGGGGCGGGGGGGTTGAGCAAAATATTTGTCCAACAAAAAGATTAAAAGGGATAGATCAAGCTCACTGAAGATTTAATATTTATAGATAAAGGACAAAGTCAATCAGATACATACAATCTGGAGCTTAATTGTCTTTCCATCCTGCTCAACGGTCCGTATTTTCTACACAAATTTACATGAAATGATGAGTTTAGACATTGCTTCAAACAGTTCAAGTTAAAAATCTGCATTGTTGTACTCACAAAATCAACTCCAATAGTGCTTATGTAGCTCTCGATATATGAATCATCCTGTAGCATAATATAGAGATTATCATAAAGTTAATCCAAGATTCCAAATTACAACATTAAGCCACAATGTACCATCTCCAATAACCAAGATCAATCAAAATGCAGAGTGAAGCCACCTAGGTTAGAAAGTGACTTATCACAATCTCTAAAAGTAGCTACATAACAGACTGATGATCAACATCTTTTAAGGGCAAAGTTAATTATTTTCTCCAAAAGAGGTGTTGGTTTCTACTTTCACTACATTTTTCAAGAGCAAAATGCTTGGCTACAACTACAATACAACCGAAATTGGCACAAATGGAGAAGCCAGAATATGAACTGACAACCTCTTTATTCCTTAACTTTCACTGTTCGTTTAGATTAGTTTTATAAAATAAAAAATAAAAGAAAATAGAAAATATATTTTTGAAAAGTCCATTTTGTCATACTTTTATGGAAAGGGATTGGTTATGCTGTTTCTATGACAGCACATTTCGTAGCAATCAAATAAACAAAAAGTAGTAGCAGTCGCAACTTGAAAGATAAGAGTAGGAATATATATTTAGCATTGATGAGTATTATACTTTGCACAAGCCACATCATTAAGTATATTCAAAGAATGGGATCATCTAGGTCAGTTTCAAACCACCATACAAATTCTGACATGGGTCCACTACTTAGTGAAATAAAACAAAAAAAAAATAAAATAAAATCTTACATGAAATAGATAACCAAATGAAATGGATCTTGTGGTTAGGATGAGCAGCACCCACCTTTCTGTTGAACTGGCTGTCCCCTGATCTGCACAGTTGGAGGCCTTGTATTATTTGCAGGTTGACTTGCCATTCTACATTCACAAGTTACCATCAGATTAGCTTAGAAGGAATAGTTGCCAGACAAGAAAAAGTCAATGAACGTATACATAAAAACATCTTTAATGAACTTAAAGAATTGCAATACATAAAAACTATATATATGCCAAATCATTATATGTGCATTGAGTTTTGCTTGTATTCTGGACTCTAATAAAAAAAGCACATAAGAAAAATAATAAAAATTGACATATGTAACTCTTTTTTGCAATTGATTTTCCTATGTTGGAAGGTCCTACATCACCTAACTCAATTCTTGGAGTGCAGTCTATATATTTGTTGGACAACTTTGCTTAGTGCCCTATTAGTTCTAAGATGAAATCTGATATGATATCAGAGTCCATTATGGTAAATTGCCTATTTTAGTATGCTTACTTATTCTGGCTGACATCTATGGAGTTGGGGTGGGGGAGGAGGGTGTTGGAAGGTCCCACATTACTTGCCTCGATTCTTAGGATGTAACTTATATATCTTATGAACAACTTCACTTAACGCCAATTAGTTTTAAGATGAAATCTAACATTCTCAGCTATGGAAATTGACACCATCAGATACACTGGAGCTAATGAATATGAGCTATACAGTATAATTATTCATCGAGTAAATCGGTAACACATTATTTCCTGGGCTTCTTCTAAGGTCAGGCTGCATTAAATTTTTGTAATCTCCATGAATATCTACTGTTAAGTTATTTTATTATTACATTTGTTGTATATTAATGTTGGGGTAGAAAGGTGTCACATAAGCTAATTTGTAGAAACCCTCTTATAACTTATCTAAAAACTTATTTTTAACTTATGTATAAGTTACTTTTAACTTATGAACAAGATTATTTCATTTTTTTTCTATTTTTTTCTCTCATAAGTGCTTATTGATAAGTTTAAATAAATAGACATTTTGTTAGGAGACATCTAGACCATAATCTAATTTTAGTGAGGCATAACAATTTTATGATATCTCGTGTAGAAAAACCTTTTTGATTCCAAGCAGCTTGTTTCACTCACGAGGCTTATCCTCCACTAGTTAGACAAGCATGGCTCATGGAGAATGGTAACATGGGAAGTATTTATGAACATTTTTACAAGAAGAGAAAGATTGAAATTTGCCTTCGTGGCATTCAACGAGTGCTAAATTATCGACTAAACTCAACTTGTTAATCCAAAAAAAAACTTTTCTCAAATATTATAGGGACATTCTCTTTCAAGAATAGATTTCCTAATTTGAAAAGGCACAAATAAAGATAGTTCGAATTAGGGAGTAAGAATACATAATTTTTTTTTCAAGCTCAAACAATTACCAAGATGAAGAGGAATAAAATTGATGGGTTATATTTTCCTTTTAAAGCATGGTATATTGATGCATAAAATTTGACATAGGAGGCTTTATGCTACTTAAAAAGTCTTTTTTGTAATCAAGAAGGTTTTGGAAGGGGGTAGAGGTGGAGGGGTTGGATGTGAATTACCTCCCAATGTGAAGTCAAGAGAGTCCTTGTTGAGCTAGTCGCAAAAGAGGAAGTCCATTTATCTTGATCAAAAATAAAGTCTTACAAGGCGTTGCAGGTTTTAGAAAAGTTATTTGCTATTATCACTTCACTTATATGATCAACATTGTGACCAAAGAGCCCAACTCCCATCATTTATTCAACAATGAAGCAACTCTCAATCACAAAATTATAACTAGGGATTGAAATTGCTTGCTCTAACATGTTTTATGTGAAGGGAATGAATACACTAATGTACAACTAAGTAAAGAACTTTATCGAATGACCAACTTAAGATTCTTGCTTTAGAAAACCTACTTTACATGTCTCTAACTTTGTTGAAGGTGTTTGACCCTCCTTTTTTTTATTATCTTTTTCTCACTTGTAACAAAAAAAATATTATCAAGGTAAAAAGAAATTGTCATTACTAATCGATGGTAATTTTCATATAGATTCATGTATGAATCTTTAATTATTTAAAAATATATATTTGAATGAAATTTTGAATAAATAAAAATATATGAACTTTTATTTATTATGTCTAAGAACACTCATACCATGACATAAAAAGTGCATGTTGCGCAGCATGATTTAAATAATGAAAATTTTTTGTACCTCTAAAGATCCTCATTTTTGTGTCTAGGCATGAAAATTGCTTGTAGCAACATGAACAAATTTTTAACAGAAATCACACATTAAACTTTCATGTAATGTTATGCAACACGCTTAATTGTGGACTTTCATAATTTTCTTTTCAATTTTTTTTATTATTTTAATTTTATTTAATATTTTATGCTCTCACATTTCCACTTTAATTAATATTAGTCTCACAATTCTTATTGAATAAAAAATATATCTACTTGATCATTTATTTTGTCGAAAGCGCTTTTATGATTTTTTTTAAATGAAAGTATTTTTAAATACTTTTTCTTTAATGAGATAGTTTTTAGAAAAGCTAATTTAATTTTTATTTATTATATTTATTTATAAATCAAATTTGATTATTTTTAAATAAATTATCAATAATTAAAATAATTCTATCATAATATAAATTATTTATCATAAATTTAAAATATAATTTATATATTTAAATATAATATATATATATCATAAATTATAATTATATAATAAACATTTAATATATACAATGTACATGTAGAATACTAGTTTTAAAAATAATTTGTTTTAAAAATTAAAATAATTAAAAAATATTTTTGATACTTTATTTTATTGTGATAATTGAATTGAATTTTTAAAAGATTGATTTTTGTATTTAACTTTTAAAGTGAGTCAATGTTATCCTTTCAAAATATTAATATATATTTTATTTTAGACATATTTTTTATTCCTTTTCTTGAAACATCTTTCATTATATTCTCCTCTCAAAAATCTTTCATTATATTCATTTAAATATAAATATTATAAAATTTAATTCATGCATGAATTTTTTTATTATATAAATATCGTAAAAATGTGCGATAAATGAATGCTACAAGCAACAAAATAAAAGTGATATTAGATTTCATTTTTCTTATAGCTAGTGACACTCTTTTTTCACACAAGTTTCATTTTCATGAGGTTTGTGATTTTTATTTTGATAATTTAGTTTGAGTTTATCAATAACAATATATAAAAAGAATACATGTTTTTGTTATCCAATTTTTTAAAGATGTTTACACCCTTATATGTTGTATCATATTTTAATATTTTTTTATTAATATATTTCTTAAAAATAAAATAAGAAGAAAAAACGTTATCGAGATTAAAAAAGAAGACAAATTTTCGGAGACGAGACATGAACCGAAGTGGTAGAACAGTGTTGGGGAGTGAGGCTTGAAATTGGCGCAGATTCACCTTTTGATGTTGTCCTCTCTCATTCCCAGAACTCATCACAGACTCACCTTCATCACAAAAACACTAACCTCATCATGCGTGCAGTCCACCGTAGAACGCGTGTGCTCCCTCGTACACGATTCCTACCACCACGCTCGATTCTCCCCTCCACCACTCCATCTGAGCATCGACCCCGATTCCCTCACCCACGACCAAGCCATCACCGTCGTCGCCTCCCTCGCCTCCGACGCCGGTTCAATGCTCGCCCTCGCTTTCTTCAACTGGGCCATCGCCTCCTCCAAGTTCCGCCACTTCACGCGCCTCTACATCGCCTGCGCCACCTCCCTCATCGCAAACCGAAACCCCGACAAGGCCCACCTCGTCATGCAGTGCATGGTCACCGCTTTCGCCGAAATCGGGAGGGTCAAAGAGGCCGTGGAGACGCTCATCGAAATGCACAACCAGGGCTTGACCCCCAGCACCAAAACACTCAACTGGGTCGTCAAGGTTTTGACCCAAATGGGGTTGCTTGAGTATGCAGAGAACCTGTTTGATGAAATGTGTGCGAGAGGGGTGCAGCCAAATTGTGTCACTTACAGGGTTTTTGTTGTTGGGTATTGTAAAGTAGGGAATGTTTTGGAGGCGGATAGGTGGTTGAGTGCCATGGTTGAGAGAGGGTTTGTGGTTGATAATGCGACGTTGACGTTACTAGTGAGTGTGTTTTGTGAGAAGGGTTTTGCCACAAGGGCGTTGTGGTATTTTAGGAGGATGAGTGAGATGGGTTTGAGGCCTAATTTGATTAACTTCACGTGTGTGATTGAAGGGTTGTGCAAGAGGGGTAGCGTGAAGCAGGCGTTTGAGATGTTGGAGGAGATGGTTGGGAAAGGTTGGAAGCCCAATGTGTACACGCATACGGCTTTGATTGATGGTTTGTGCAAGAAAGGGTGGACTGAGAAGGCGTTTAGGTTGTTTCTTAAGCTTGTTCGAAGTGAGAATCACAAGCCAAATGTGCTTACTTATACTGCCATGATTGGTGGGTATTGCAGGGATGGAAAAGTGAGCCGCGCTGAGATGTTGCTGAGCAGGATGAAGGAGCAGGGATTGGTGCCGAATACGAACACGTACACGACTCTCATTGATGGGCATTGTAAAGCGGGGAATTTTGAAAGGGTATATGAGTTGATGGATGTGATGAATGAGGAAGGTTTTGGTCTCAATGTGTGTACGTATAATGCTGTTGTTGATGGCCTTTGTAAAAAGGGAAGGGTACAAGAGGCTTACAAGGTGCTTAAGACTGGGTTTCGTAATGGGATGGAGGCTGATAAAGTCACGTATACTATTCTCATATCTGAACATTGCAAACTGGCGGACATTAAGCAAGCGTTGGTGTTGTTCAATAAGATGGTCAAGAGTGGTATTCAACCTGACATTCATTCATACACCACGTTGATTGCAGTATTAGTATTTTGTAGGGAAAAAAGAATGAAAGAAAGTGAGATGTTTTTTGAGGAAGCTGTGAGATTTGGACTTGTTCCTACAAACAAAACTTATACGTCAATGATATGTGGTTATTGCAGAGAAGGTAATTTGAGTTTGGCTTTGAAGCTTTTCAATAGGATGAGTGACCATGGTTGTGCTCCAGATTCTATTACTTATGGTGCTCTTATAAGTGGTCTGTGCAAACAATCGAAGTTGGATGAGGCTCGTGGGTGGTATGATGCCATGATAGAAAAGGGACTTACTCCGTGTGAAGTTACTCGAGTAACTTTGGCTTATGAATATTGCAAGATAGATGACGGTGGCTCTGCTATGGCTGTTCTTGAAAAGCTGGAAAAGAAACTCTGGATCCGGACAGTTAATACCCTGGTCAGAAAGCTATGCAGCGAGAAGAAAGTAGCTTTGGCAGCACTGTTCTTTCATAAGTTACTAGACATGGACCCTCATGTCAATCGTGTAACATTAGCAGCATTTATGACTGCATGCTATGAAAGCAATAAGTATACTCTTGTTTCTGATTTGTCTGCAAGAATATACAAGGAAAATCGATTAGCAATCAAGGTCACCAAGTAACAAAATGTGTGATGCGTCTTGATGCTTTCTAAGGCTGGTTACATCTGGATACGTAACTAGTTGGATTTTGTTGTTAAAGTATTTGGGGTCATAACTTGCTGGAGATGATTTGATATTTATGGCATCCTGATACTGAATTCTGCATTAGATTATTATGTTAACGTGATCAACGAATGGGGTCATAAAGGGCACGGATTCTGCAACTCACCAGGTAACCTTACATTTGCATCTTCCCATTGAAATTCTAGAAAGTTAGAAATTCTGGTAAAGTTCATTTCAAAATTTTAAGGATTATTTGGTTTATCAACTTTGAAGTATGTGTATTCCAAAATTCATGCTACACGTACCTGGTACACATTGGTGCGTACCAGGTACATATCCAAAATATTTTTCAAAGAAAAAAATTAGCACTTCATTTGAGTACTCATGGGTACTTTTTTGGGTATGTGTCGAACTTGTACTCAAGACCGATAATTAAAAACTATCTTTCAACAAAAAAATTAGGTTTCTCATTAATCCATTTACTCCAAAAACTCAATTCTTATCCATGAGTGATACAACACGACTCATCCACCATTGAAGATTTAATTTTATACATATAAATCTCTGTCTCCTCTCAAAAAAAGAGCTAGAGTTATAAAGAGGATGAGAATAAAATGTGATATATTAGTGGAGACGAAAGGGAATCATTTAAATGGGTTGACATTCTTAAAATTGTTATTCTCTCTTGATGAACCAAAGTTAAAAACAATTGTTTTCACACAAATGATGGACAATGAAATGATGAGATTTGAAATAGTTAAAGTATGATAATATCACAATTAAAATGTGATATTATAGTCAATTTTATACGAGAGGATATCATAAAGTTCAAACATGTCCTCAATTTTTGCATCAACTTTAAATATTACGATACATATGGTAATACATAATACGGAGTTAGGTCCTCTCCACCTAGTTACATTGTCAAGTAGGATGTGTATTTCTCACTCTTGAAGTAGAAGGTCCAACCGTTCAGGTTATACTTGATTGATAACAACTACCTATGATTTAACAAACCTGTTTTTAACAGGGTAGTTTAAATCCCATTTATTCCCCTGATTAATAGGCTTCCCAAACCTTTATGGCTCCAAAGCTAGTCATTAGAACATTACTTACACACAAAACTATACTAACCGAGAAAACTGTTATAGAGGCTCTTTCATACTCTCGAATTGTTCTCTGTGCCACTAATAACCCTAGAAGTGATGCAACAAAACATATTATGGCCAAGATGAGGGCAGCTTGTACATGTTCTATCCCCAACAACAGATATTGCAATGCTGACATGGTAGAAGAAAAGAGAACCGTGAAAGAACATGTTGTTGATGTTACCTATACTGCTATACACAAATAAAATAAAAAATTATTTGGTAAATACTATTAGTTAGTAATTACCAGCCACTATAATCAACAATAATGCTTATAACAGAGTAACAGAGCAACTTACCTCAGGAATTATTCCAACCTGAAGAAGTGGACTTATTAGTATTCCACCTCCAATTCCAAAGACACCACCTAATACCCCTGCTAGTAGTGCCATTAATGGGAGATATATATTTTTCTCAAGAGGAGTATTATATTATATCTTGGTTATTTTTCTTATTATAGAAGAGGTTGTGGATGACCTCATGACATACATTCAAAAAGCAAATCCTCATTAGTTACTCTACTAAAAGTTGCACACAAGCTACAGTGGTAAAGAGTGAATACCACATTTTTGGCAGCGACAATTTTCACAACTTTAGTTTAGTGTAATCAAGAAGAGGTTGTGGATGACCTCATCATGGCAAACATTCAGAAAGCAAATCCTCTAATTGGTTACTCTACTAAAAGTTGCAAACAAACGAGAATGGTAAAGAGTGAATACCACATTTTTAGCAGCGACAATTTCTACAACTTTAGTTCTTTTCATCAAGAAGGACAAAAGGAAAAAGCGGGCCTTAGAGAGATCATAAGTGTCATATTGATGTGTCAAGCACATAGTGCAAAATTTGTGAGAAATAGTGACAAAAACAAAAGCACGATGAGACTTTAAAGAAATCCCACAACTTATAAAGCTTCAAAGCTGTGAGATTTCTTCAAAGCATCATCATGCTTTTGCTCCTACCATTGTTTCTCACAGATTCCACACCATGTGCTTGACACACCAATATGACATTCATGATCCCTCCGAGGCTCGCTCTTCCCTTTGTCCTTCTTGATGAAAAGAACTAGAGTTATATAAATTGTCTCTGTAAAAAAGTGGTATTTGCTCTTTACCACTATCGTTTGTGTGCAACTTTTAGTAGAATAACCAATGAGAGGATTTGCTTTTTGAACTTCTATCATAATGAGATCATCCACAACCTTTTTTTGATTGCGTTAAACTAAGGTTGTAGAAATTGTTGCTGTCAAAAACATGGTATTTACTCTTTACCATTCTAGTTTGTGTGCAACTTTTAGTAGAGCAACCAACTAATGAGAGGATTTGCTTTTTGAACGTATGTAATGATGAAGTCATCGACAACTTCTATAATTAGAATAATAACAAGATATAATATAATACTCCTCATGAGAAAAATATGTCTCCCATTAACAAAATACACAACCAATAATCCATACAAACAACAACAAAAACACAATACAATGATAGATTCTGCTAAATGGAATGCTAGGTTTTTTGTTTGAGAAGAAGATTGTTTGGATACAAATAATGTCATTCACGGTTAGAACAAGAGAAAAAAATAAGAGTTTATAAAACACACATACTCTATCATAAAGAGATCTTTTGGGTGATGATAAAAAATAAATCCGTGAGAGTTTACATCCAACTAGATGACCAAGAAGACAATAAAGATAATGAAAAATAACTTAGAAGAGAAGTGAGAATATACCTAAATATCTTTAGTTTAAAAAGGAGAATAAATTAGTTTTGATAGAAATATTTTGTTTATGTTTCAAATACTTAGATTTAATTTGTTTTGATTATTTTATAATTTGTTTTCTTACTTTTAGGATAGGATGATATCAATATCTGATTTTGTATCACAATTTTTCTTTATATATAGATAACTCATGAATAAAAATATGCTCTTCATCAATATATCTTTACAAAATACAAATTTCATAAAAAGGGACTTTAAATTTTAAAATTCAAAAGAAAGGAAAAAAGGACAAAAGAAGTCACAAACTTTGATTTGGTAAACTTGATGAGGTGCTTCTGCTATCCTCGATCATGCCTAACTACACCTTAATAATAATTCATATTATATGTTCAATTCCAATATCAGTTTGTCTCAATTAAATCATGAACAGAGATTAATAAATTATAAATCTATTATTGTATAAAAAATTATAATAACAACAGGCAGCCTCACTGTTTGAACAATTCATTTTAGAAAATAAAAGAAGTAATCTCAGTCCAACAGTTCATATTATATGCATAACAAAATTTAAACATATTAAAATATTAACAATTCATTTTCTTACCGATAACTAAAAATATTTATTTTACTACCCTTTACTTCAGGAAGAAGAGAGAAAGAAACTTTACCTGTCCGTATCTGTTGCCACGAAGATAGACAGAAAAAAGAGAACCATGTCAAAAGTAAAACCACCAATTTCAAAAGAGGGATCCTCACTTTGGTATTTCCCTGAGGAACCAGAAGAGGCACATCAATACTTTTTAGCTCATTGTTTTCTTTGTACACGTGCCAACACTTTCCTTTCTTCAACCCTCTTCTAGCAGCCCCTTTTCAAGTTCTTCAAGTCCATTTTTCCTCATCTCTTCTGATTCAACCTTCCAAAACAGCAACCCACTTGTGCAAGTTTTTGAGGTAGACCTAGCAAGAAAGATGGCAAAAAGTAGATCAATCATTCTGGGAATACAAGGTTGCAAATAACTCCGAGACTCACTCCCAGCAACATGCATACATGGTTGTGATGAAAGAGCTATGTCATAGTCAATCAGTGACTTGTCACCGAAATTTAGGACTTGTGGTGCACATGTTGCCCATAACCAATAGACCCTCCTGTGACCATAAAAGCTGAGAGCCTTGAAGAAGTTTTGAGGTATAAAAAGGCCATCACCACCTACTCCACCAGCACTAGATATGGCAGAAGCTATGAAGTTCAGGACTTCAGCAAACACCAAAGGTCCTGAAATAAGTATCGGAGATTGTGCTTCACCTCCCCATACATAAATTTTCTCTAGGAAATGGTCAATATTGAGTATATTTGAAAAGGGTTGTGTTTGTTTTGCATTTGAAGGATTGAAGGAATGAAAGTGAGAACCAGAAGTGCAAGAGTTTGAGTCCTCATTTGATTTTGAGAGTTTCAGCAATGGTATAAGGAGTGCATGAACTGGGATTATTATGCCTTTATATAGGGACATGCTTGAACTGTTAATAATGCTTATTGTTGTTGGAAAATAAAACGCATAGCATTTCTTTTTTGTATACTATAATTATTGTGTCACCTTTACCTGTTTCCATATTTAAGAGACATTTTGTTGTTTGAAAAAGAACTTGACAAGAATATGATAAAAATGGAATATAGATAACATTGTTGGTAACATCTCTGAGGAGTACGATAGTGTAACACACAAAAATTAATGAGGAAGGACAATATGTTTAATATAAAGTAGGGCTAACGCCGAAAATTTACATTTGTAGACCAAAAATAAAAATCAACTGTCGTCGTCCACTTGGAATAGTACAATAATGTGTTACGCAAAACAAAAACCAGAGGTAATTTAAATTGGGCTACCTGACATATAAAGCTCTCTTTTCTATGCAAAGGATGTTCTCTTTAGTTAGTTGATAGTTATGCATGTAAATAATAAACTAATTCAGCTTTTAGTAATTACAATTATTTTCTTCGCGAGACTTCATATTGAGTGTAATCAATCTAACATATATTAAAGTATTTTTATTTCTAAAATGCATCATTTACTTTACATATTCAAAATTCATAAATATATAAACAAGAATTAGCAAAGGAGCTAGGGAGAGCCATATAGTATTGGGATACCAGTAAGATTTTACATCGTTAGAACAAGAAGAGAAATAATAATTTATAAAACATATATATACTTTATTTGATTAAGGTCTTTTGGATAAAAATAAAATGATGAGGATTTAGATTCAAAGTGAACAATATTAAATTCAATGACAATCAATAATTTTAAGAAATTAAGTCCTTTATCCCACACATCGATAAAATAATAAAAAAAAGAAAGGTTTTCAAAGTACACAAATGTTACATATATCCCTCTCCTAATAAAATATAACCATCTTCTCTATATAAATATATCCCTAAAAAATTAATATCATAACATAACTATTATAGTGGTATCATAGTTGCATTTCTATTTGACGATAACCAATAATAATTCATGATTATAACAAAAACATGATATAATAATATATAAAGATAGGTTTTATAAACAAGAAATTAAATGTTTGAAGAAAGAATTGTTAGAATATAACAAGATCTTACATTATTAGAACGATAGAGGTTTTATATTGTTCAAATGGGGATAAATAAGAATTTATAAAACACACTCTCAAATTATGTGTACAAATATTCTAATAAAAATAACAAGATATAATAATATTCTTTCTTTATAAAAATATATCTTCATCAAACAAATTCATAAAATAACTATAATATATAATAAGGATGAAAGAAATCAAATAAACGGAAACACAATGAGACATGAGAGAAAAAGAAAGCTATAGTCTAGTATTAGTTGTCTATTGAATTAATCCCTAATTTTGGTTAGGAGTACGTTGATTTTAGGGTTTAGAATTTTCAAAAGTTTATAAGGTTTACAAATTGCGAACAGGCGTACGGCACATGTATTGCGACCGCAATATAACGGCGTTACATCCGTAAGGGAACCGCTACGCCTACAGTGTTTCCGACGGGAGGAAAGAGGGAAGAGGCAAAATTAGGGTTATAGCCATAGGAGATTAGGAATTGCGAGGGGATTCAATATTTATACTCTACAAGAAAATTGGTTAACTTTTTTTATCCTTAGAATATATTATTCGTAAATTAGAGATAAGATAACTAACCTTATCGTAATCTTATCTGTCTTAATTCTTATTTTCAAACAATTTATTTTAAATTTAACTGACAAATTTCTTTTTATGCTTTTTTTTCTATTTTTTTAGATTTATTTACATTTTTACTATTTTATTATAAATTTATTCTAAATTATTCATTAAAATGATACAAAATTTTGAAAATGAATAAAAAAATATATACAACCTTATAAAAATAACATATACCAATAATTATAGGAGTTAATTTATATTTAGTGAGATACATAATAAATTCATCCCGCAATAGTAATACAATAACGACAATCGTAGTAATCAAGATAGCAATTGTAATTTAGAATTACATATTTAACACAAATGCATTTTTATAATTTATAATTAAGTTATTTTTTTTTATTTTTCATAATTATTATAATTGAGTTCTTGAATGGATAAAATTAATAAAACTGCTATAAATGGTTATTTTTATAGCAGTGTTAAATTATCATAAATTAATTCTAAAAAATTATAATTACAAAAAATTTGAAGTTGAAGAATTTTCAAAATAATTCAGTATTTGCATTTGTTAATCAAAGACTAAGGGCTATTTGATTTTAAAAAATATTTTTTATTTTTATTTTCTATTTTCATTTTTTAAATGGTTTTTATTTTCAATTTTTGAAAAATTAAAAAATATGTGTGATTTAATTTCTCATTTTCTAATTTTAAAAAATGAAAATAATGAAAATGTGTTTTTTTCAATGACAAATTTATAATATATATCTTCAACAATATTAAATCATCGCAAATTCAAATATTTATAATTGAACTAAGTATATATATACACACATTTAAAAAAAATATAATATATTTTTTGATGAACTAAATATTTTGTGGTATGATGGATAAAAAATATCCATTGTCGTATGATGGAGAACTAATAAAAATCCACTGTTGTTGACATGAACAAGAAAAATATATTTCCAAATTGATAGCTTTTTTTTTTCATCCCTGGACTATTCACTTTGCTAAGCGTGGATCAACCTCTACCGCTAAACCACACGCTTAGGATTTCCAAATTGATAGCTTGTGTAGGCATACATAAAACAAAAAATTAAAAGTATTTATTTACGCATGCCACTTCATTTTTACTTTAAATTAAACACGGAAAACGACATTATTCTGTTATCATATTTAAGCTCCTTTTGAAAATGCTTTCAAGAAAAAATATTTTTTAAAATTAAAATTACTCATATTTTTATTACTATTTTTCATTTTCAATGAAAATGAAAACAGAAAACAGATATATCAAACAACTCTTAAAGTTCTTCAATTTAAGCAAGAATGGCGAAATCTGAGAGGAAATAATTATAACTTAATTATATAAAAAAATATAATTATCAAAATCAAATTAATTAAATATCTTTAAGTATTATAAAGAGTAAATTTTAAATTTTGTCAAAATTAAAATGGAATAATTTAATTAAGTGTTTATTCAGAAAAAAATATTAAATGATAAATGTTTACAAGTTTGACAGTAAAGTTTATAAGAATAAATTAGAAGAAGTTTATTTTGATAAAGCTTATCTATAAAATTTGTTGAAGTAAATTTAAACAAACTTATAGAAAGTCAAAAATAATTTTTATAAATTCTAATAAGTTCTTTTGAATGTACGCCTATTATCTTCTTCTCCTGCATGACATTGGGTACAGGGCCAAATGAAGCATTCATAAAAAAAAATGATACATCATTAAAAAAAATATGGATAAAGGACTTGTTTAATTTTTTTTTCTAATGCTTTTCAAGATCAAAGCCTCTGTCATGCAGTGGAGAAAACGATATGACAACTAAAATTTTAAGAAAATTGTTACAGTATGTTTTTAAATTAAGATGTTTTGACATAGTAAATTTTAAAATTATTTTAAAAAATGATTTAAAATGTGTTTTTATTTTTATTTTTTTTCTCTATACTAAGTGATGTGTTATTAACAAGTATATATTTTAGACCACTAAAGTTAGCCTAATAGTTAGGTGGGAAGAGATTGAGATAATTATAAGCATAAAGACCTAGGTTAAATTTTCAATGTGACAATCTTTATAATTTTTCCTACCTTTATAATATATATATATATATATATATATATATATATTTTAAGCAATTAACTTTTTCTTATTAAATACTAATCCAAATATTTTAAATGATTTTGTAAAAATCTAACTTAAAAAAAACATGATAAAATTTTATTTGTTGAAGTAAAGAAAAATTTTATGAATTTTTTATTTAATTTATTTATCAAAATTTACATATAAATATGAAAAGTCCTAATTTATCATGACTCATAATATATAAAAAGATATCCTTAATAAATTCAAGTGTTTCATGTAATATATATATATATATAAATAATAATTTTAAGAAAATAATAAATATAATCAAATTATTCTAAAACATCAAATGTTTAAATATTTTAAAAGAACAATTTATTCATATTTATATAATTATACATTTTTTTAAAATTATATTAACGTATCCGTCCCTATACCCTAAATTTTTAAAAAATTGTGTATCGTGTACTTGTACTCGTATTCATATATCCGATACCGTCCATGTATTCATGCAACATATATAGTTTATCATATTCCTTTGTACTTTCTCATTTAGTTTTCCCTTTCCTTTAATATTTCTTGTTCTCATATATTAGTTCAACAGCAGATACAACAAGTAAATTAAGTTTGTCGTTGGTATTTTTACTGGTTTCAGGTTTCCTATAATGAGCTCGTCTATCACTCAGATGCTTCTGTGCATGAGACGTTACTTTGAGAATGTGGAGAGTCTTGTTGGCTTGCCACTTGTGCATCCATTTGTATTTTGGGAAATGTCAGTCTCAAATGGATTATTGGTCACTCACCCTTTATTCCAAAGACCTCGATCTCTCTTTCTATCAATAAGAAGACCATATTTCATTTCGTTCAACTCCACTGCTGATTTGCAAATTCAGCAACAATTCTCTACTGAAATTGATTCAGTGTCAAAGAAAATTTTTGGTCCACAGCAATATATACCACTACTAATTAAAATATAAGCATCTGCTATACAAAATGGAAAACAAAGGAAGAGCTATCATGCCATGATTGTTCTTATGGTCTTTGCTAGCCCAATATAAATGATAATCTGATACTGGACTATAGGCGGTGGTTCATTAGAACATAGTAACATGCTGTTGTTAAGAGTCTCTCAAGATACATATATATATAGTACATACCACTTACTGCTGACAGGTGTACATCCCTTCAGCCTGCAAATGTGTCAAGGGAAATGTCAACTGATTATGTAAAGGATGATGTTGCTGTAGTTCTTCATGCTGATTTGCTTATGTAAAGAATGATGTTGCTGAAGTTCTTCATACCAACTATGGACTTCAAGCAGT